CCTGCACACATCGACGCACACACACACACACACACATCCCTACACACATCGACGCACATTCCTGCACACATCGACGCACACACTCACACTCAGACACACGCACATCCCTACACACACGTACACACAGCGCACCTGGGCAATTGCAGCATCAAACAGCAACACGTCCATGGTAATGTGCGGGTATCTGAGGTGGTAGCGGGTGCAGCTTTCCACCTCTTCCTCGGATTTGACATCCTTGAGGTATGAGACCACTGCATCCCGCTCCATATCAGACAGCCGAACTGACGCAGAGCCAACGGTGCCGTCCGCATGCTGTGGACGTGGCGGCGGTGATGCGATTCACGATTCAGTGAGGCGGACACATGAGAAGAACAACAAGAAGAGCAACACCCACGATTGCAACGAGAGCACCAAGTGTGAGTGCTCCAGTCGCAGCCAACAGCATGCTACTTGCTGCGCATCCCCATCACGCCCTCTGTCACGTCCCATCACGTCCCATCACATCCCATCACCTGTGTGGCGATGACGGTGCACTTGACGTTGGCGGGCAGCACGATACCGCGCATGTGCGCCGTGACTGGAATTTCAATGGACACAGATGGCCGCTCGCGCGTGTTCCTGCAGCAAACACACAAGAACCAGTGGTAAGACAATGGCAAGCGAGTCAGAACGGTGTGTGTGCGTTTGTTTGCGTGTGTGTTTGCGTGCGTGCGTTTGTTTGCGTGTTTGTGTTTGTTTGAATTGTCAGGCACCGGCGACAATAGGCAAGCACATCAGGCTGAAAACTCGCAGACACACACACACACACGCACACACGCATAAACAGAACATGTATGCATGCACATTGTTCCACACGGGGAGCAAGGAACGGAAACGCACAAACAAGCAAGCAACACAGCAAGGGGTAAAGGTAAAAGCACATGACATACGTGATCCAGCCGTTGGTAATGGAGTAGTTGTCGGCTTTGGTGTCCTGCGCAGCGTGGACGAACAGCACATCCTTCGTCAGCTCCGTCGGTACCTTGGGCACGTTCGCCGAGTTGGACAGCTCAGAGGCGCGCCGCTGCACGACAACGACAATCTTGCGAAGGCGGCTGGCCTCTGCCAGCCACAGCGGCAGCTCGTGCGATTGCACAGCGACACTCATCACCGACGCCCGCAGCGCACCGCTCACCGCCAACATCACACTCGGGCTCCTACAGTAGAGACGGAGAGAGAGTGTGTGTGTATGTGTGTATGTGTGAGTTAGTGAGTGTGTGTGTATGTGTGTGGGCTGCGTGAGTGGCGAGCCACACGCGCCGTGGTCAATGAAGACACGCAAGGACAGCACCAGCCCCAACGGGCAAGAAAAGCGCATAGGAGAACAGCACAATCAGAACATCGCGCACTTTTCCTTGGCGATGCGCTTGAGCACGGCGTCTGACATGACGCGAAGACAGGCCGCAAAGTCTCGGCCAAAGACAAGAGGGCAGCTCGTCTCCACCCATCTGCAGTCCAGCGCGCATGCCAGCCAACGCTGTGAGGACACGTACAGAGCAAGACAAGCAGCGGGTGGCGATTCGACAGGCACCGCAACATGTACGCAGCATGCACACGCAGCATACACGTGGATGAACCCAGCAGACGCATGCACAAACACGAACACGGGGCACGCACGTTGCAGAAGCGAGGCGCGATGTGGACACGAGGGGTGGTCGCGGGCGCACCAGCTGCTCAACGTCGTACTCGCGCATCTCAACAAGGCGGCACAACAGCCTGCCCAAAACAATACGCACCGCACACACGTATTCGCACGCGACACGTGAGTGTGAGAACAACCCTAGACATGCCACACATGCCACAGCTTTCCAACACACAGGTGTAACGAATAGTACACTGCAGAAATCACACACGATGCAAACGCGCGATTGAAACGTACAGGACGGCCGATTCAAGCGTCGTTTCCTTGCGCTGCATAAACGCGCTTACTTTCCGGCACATCTGCAGATGCGCCAATGTACGCACACACACACACACACAAAGTGGGGCAAGAACAAGCGCAAGTGAACGTGTGCCGTGTGACCAAGAATACCATACATACCGCAGGTCAAATCTGTTTTCCTCCTCAACGCACACTCTCCGCAGCACTTACACACACACACACACACCTGCAGGAAGTCAAAGTGCCGCTGGGCGTCGTGGAGATGGTGGCCCAACTCCAGGAATATGTCATGCTGATGGCGGAAACCGCTGCACACAAGCTGCTCACGCATCGCACATACATCGCACACACGTACAGTTCACAAAGCACGACGAACAAGTGAACAAGAGGTTGGGTTGTCAATGTCACAACAAACAATATAATGAATCGCGCATACACATGCACACAAACCACAAGAGCACCAAACTACAACTGCACACAAGCACGCATCTCTGCACATATGTACAATTATGCACGCGTACACATATACACATGCACACAATCAAGCAGCAGCATGACTGCACCTTGTGGGTGTCTGCGTCTTCGTCCTGTGAGACACCGGCCGTTGACAGGGGCGACAGGGAGAGGAGGAACGCTGTCCAGGCAATCACTTGCGTGTGAGCATCGCTCGCACTCACACCGGCACTGACAGCCTCGCTTGCTGCCAAGTGCTCGTACACGGCGCCATCAACCTTTGTGTGTGTGTGTGTATTTGTGTGTGTGAGTGTGTGTATTTGTGTGTGTATTTGTGTGTGTGCGTGTGTGTGTGTATTTGTGTGTGTGTGTGTGTGTGTTTGTGTGTGTGTGAGTGGTTGACGCAACATGTGTGGACATGAACAGAGCGTACGTCAGTTGAAGCTGCAAATCAGCGCGTGCAAACACATACACACACATACACAAACATACACAAACACAGATACGCATGTGCGCGAGCCTGCACAGACACACGCACACACACACACACACACACACAAACAAACCCGCCCCTCCTCCTCAACATCAGCGGTACCTTGAGGCATGGACCCAGCTGGTCAACGTCCATGCAGGCAGCGAGGCGAGACAGGGCTGACCGCGTGTACGCAGCAACGGCGGTGTCATCTTCAACGTCACCATCGCCAGAACTGCCATCACGGCCGCTGCCAGCGTTGACACCGGCAAGCGACGGCGTAAACTGAAAGTGCGTGCGCTTCGCTGCCTCTGCAATGACGGCCTGCTCGCGTGCGTCAAAGTACTCCGTGACGGGCACCGCCGCATCAGCGACCGCATCGGCCGTCCACTCGCGCGCGGCGTCAGAGGACGACAGCGCAACAACTCGCAGGTCGGCCAGGGCTGGCGGCCCGAACACGACGCTGCGCAGCCCAAAGGGGGATGGGGCAAACACGACGAGGAGCGTGGCCCACGCCGGCCACGGCTGCAGCCACTGAAAGGAGAGGGATGGCTGCCCGTACATGTGCTGGACAAGGGCTGTCACATCCTGACGCGGGCACACGCTGCCCAGGCGTCCAAGCTCAGCATGCACCACTATCCGAATCATGCACGTTTGTATGTGGTGGGTGGGTGTGGGTTTGGGTGTGAGTGTGAGTGTGCGTGTTTGTGCGCGTTTGCGCGTGCGAGGGAAGGTTGTCTGTCAAGGCTACAGTCACTGTGAAAGACACGCAGGCAACCCCCTTTGTCAACACACACGCACACACACACACACACACACGCACGCACGCACACGCACGCACGCACGCACGCACAGACGCATTTTGAATTTACGCACCAACGTATTCCGGCTGGTGAGTCGAGAAGTTGGCCAGGAGCGCGTCGGCGTTGTGGCGCTTCTGTTAGTTATGGGAGGTATTACAAGCAGTAGCAGCGTGAGCGGCCGACTGTGAGGCATGCGTCACCGTCGAGCATGAAGCAGGCGCGGCCAGTGTTTCTCTCACACAACTTCAAAACAGAGTCTCAAGCACAGTTTCACAACCACACACACACACAACACACACACGCAACTACGCACCGCCATGGTGAGGAATGTGTCAGGGGTGATGTCATCAGGTGGCATGTCATGGAATGCGCGGCTGTGCCAGAGGGAAGCAGCCAGGAGTGCACGCTGACACTGCAAAGACGACAGGGAATGGCCCTCGCTTGTTGCCTCGGTTTTTGTCTCCTGCTCTTGTGCCGCTTGCTCAATCATCACCCGCACTTCTTCTGGCGTCGGCGTTTCGCCCTCGCTTGCCTTGTCCTTCTCACCGGCCTTGTCCTTGTCATCGCCTTCTTCTTCCTCCTCTTTTTTCTTCTCGCCCTCCTGCTTGTCATCGCCCTCCTTCAGCTCCTCCTGCTTCGGCTTATCCTCGCCGCCATCGCCATTGTCAGCCACCGCGTGTTCTTCACCTTCCACCTTCTTCTTGTCATCCTTGGCGCCTGCAGCCTCGTCTTTCTTTTTCTCTCCGTCGTTGTCCTTCTTGTCCTTGTCACCCTGGCCATCGCCCTTGTCGTCGTCAGCGTCTGCCGGGCGCATCACCATCACCGCATGCCTCCCGCGGAAGTGGTGGTTCTGCCACACCATCAGCAAATCACGACCAGGCAGCGCAGACAGCGTCGTGATGGCTGTTGTCGCGCTACGCACCGCACCAGCACGAGGGCTTGTCTCGTTTGCATCGGTCCCTTTACCAACACCGCCTTTCTCTTCCTGGCCCTTTGCCTGCTCATCCGCCTTGCCCTCCTTCTCGCCCTTGGCATCCTTGTCATCCTGTGCCGACGCGTTCTCTTCTTTGCCCTTGTCCTTGTCCTTGTCCTGTTTCTCGTCCTGTTTCTCGTCCTTGCCCTCGCCTTGGTTCTCCGCGTTATCATCGCCATCCTTCTTCTGCTTGTCCTTTGCTTCCGGCGCGTCGCTGCCCTCGCCCTTTGCGTCGTCCTTCTTCTTGCCCTCATCTTCGGCCTTGTCAGGGCCTCCCTTGCCCTTATTCTCTTCGTTGGCTTCCTCCCCTTCCACCTCGTGCTCCTCCCCCTCCTCAGCCTGGACGGCCAGGTCGCCAAGGTTCACCCATCCCGGCAGGTGCCTGTATTCCTCCGATGCCACAGAGGCAACCGTCGTGGGATGCAGGGCCGCCCAGCACCGGCGAAGAGGAACACAACGCCGCCGCTTGTAGCGAGCAGCACTGTCATTGCCGTGCTCCTTGCCGCCCTTTGCATCCACGCCGTCGGCGTCATCATCGTCATCCTTGTCATCGCCGTCAACAACAACCACGTGGCCGCTCAGGATGAACATGGGCCCGGTGCGGAGGCGGCCGACGAGGCGCTGCGCCTGCTGTTCCAGCGTAATCTCCCGACCGTCGTCGCTCGAATCATCGCCGCTGTTCATGCGTTCGTTGTAGCGGTCAGCAAACGCCGCCTCGCGCGAGTGCACATCCTCAATGCCAGCCATGACAAGATCAGCGTCCAGCTCGTCTTCCCCCTCTTTCTTGTCCTTGTCTTTGTCTTTACCCTTTGCTCTGGCCTTGGCCTTATCAGCGCCGCCCAACCGCAAGCGCGCTCGCCGTCTCTCAAAGAACTCACGCTTCTCCTTGTAACGATCCAGCAAGCGCCCACCTTCTGCAGCATCCTCGCCCTCCTCGCCGCCGCCCTTCCACAGGTCCTTCGTCTCCAGCATGCGAAGCCGCGCATCGTCCTCCTCCATCTCCGCCCGCAGGTACGCGTCCTGTATCTCATCGCCCGTCATCTTGCCGAGCACAATCGTGTCCCGCCCCGCGCCGGCGTGTATCTTGATCGTGCGCACCGGCAGCGACACGCGTGTGGGCGTGCCCCACATGACCACGTCATTGCCCATGGCAAACCGGAACTCGGACACCGTCTCCACGCCCTGCTGGTGTTGAAGGGCGTTGGCTGGCGCGCTGCCTTCGTTTGCAGCCGCAAACACGTCTTCCGCACCAGGCGTCGACACCCTTGGCCCAGCCGACAGCTGCGACGCGACAGAGTGCGCGGCGCTCGTGCGTGACTCGCCGGCAGTCTCTGCTTCGTTCTGCACCGTCAGGTGGATCCAGATTGGCTGCGCACGCGCACTCGTTGTCACCGCCAAGACATACCTGCCCTTGCGAATGTTCTCCAGCTTGATCTGATAGCGCCGGCGATGCGTCTCGGCCGTGTTGACAACACTCACGCGCGGCGACGCCATGTACACCATGGCCCGCTGCTCCTCCAAGCTCAAGACGCCCTTGGCCGGGGGCCACGAATAGCCCACATCCTGCATGCTTGACACGATTCTGGCGTCACCACCACCGTCAGCATCGTCCGCACCAACATCCATGGCTGCTGGCGTGCTGGTGGTGGGAGAAGCAGTGGCACTCGATGCGTCATCCTCCTGCTCCTCCTCCACGTCCTCCGACTGCTTCAGCTGCTGCTGCTGTTGCCGCTGCTCTTTGTCAGGGTCAGTCGTGCCGCGTGCAGACTGTGAATGCTTGCTTGAACCCTGACTACCACTGGTGTCTTCCGGGCCACAGTACATGCGCACGGACACGGGCATCTCCTTTGCGATGGACACGGCGTTGGCCGGTGCCGCAAGCACCGCGCGCCCCTGATCGCGACCACCATCCTCGGCGCTGTCCGTGGAATCATCGTTGCTTCGCTCGCCCACAGTGGTAGTCGCGTCCCCGCGTGTTGCCGCTTCGGACTTGCTGTGACCAAACAGCTCCACAAAGAACGAGAACACGTGGGTCAAGCGCGTGCGGTGAACGGTGGCTGTCAGCATCACGTCGACGTGCTCCGGTGCATATTGCTTCTTCAGCTCATCATCATGTTCATCAGCGTGGTCCCCAGTGTGGTCGCTCGTGGTGTCTGTGCCATCCGTGCGCTTGCTGTCACCACATGTGGCCGTGTCTGTGGCACCAGCAGTGCTAGCAATCGCTGCCCAAGTGCGCTTGGCAGCATCCGTGCTTGCGGCCTTGTTGTCGCTATTTGCGGTGTCATGGGATCCTGCAGTGACGCCCGACGTTCCGTGCATATCTTGGAATACGCGGCTGTGAGCAGTGGCAACCTTCACAAAGCGCGATATGGTTGGTGCGGGCACCCTCACATCGCCAGTATCACCACCATCTCCTTCGACATCGTCACCGCCAGCAGCAGCATCACCACCATCATCACCAGCGTTGCCGGCTGCTGACGACAATCGAGATGCCGGCCGTGAGTGTGTCAACGATGCTTTGAGCCCAACCAAGTCGCTCAGAAGCACGTGCGCCACGGGCACTTCGCCCAGCAGGCCCGCTGCGTGTGCACACGCATGCCCGCGCGTTCCAGCGGCTGCACACACGAAATCCAGGAGGAAGGCGAGGCGCGCCTGTCGCTCGGGGCTCCACTGCGCGTGCTCCTGCTCGTTGCAGGGCAGCAGTGCCGACACGACACGTGGGCGGAGACGGCCCGGTGCAATGAAGGGCGATGCAGAGGAAGCACTGGCTCCCGGCGCCAGAGCAGATCCGGGGTCCGCGCGAACCTTGGCTTTGGCCTTGCTGCGGTCTCCGCCAGCGTCAGAATCCTTTTGCTGATCCTGGACCGCCTCCTCACCCGCTTCTTGTTCCTCTTCTTTGGCCACCTTGTCCTTCTTTGCGCCCTTTGCAGCACCGCGCCCCTTCATCCCATCATCGCCCTCCTCACCGTCCTCATCGTCGTCGTCCACGTTGGGGTGGACCATTCGCCGCACGGCGTCGCTGCGCTTGAGCAGCTCCAGTGCGTCCACCACGTTTGCGCCAAATGCGCTCGACCACAGCACGCGCCGCTGGTGGTGCTTGGCCACTTCCGTTGGTGCCGACGCCTTCTTGCCCGAGCTGTCCTTGTTCTTCTTGTCCTTCTCCTTGTCCTTGTCTGCGCCTGTGGCCTCGTCCTTCTTCTTGTCGCGGCGACCTGTGGGCAAAACACCCGCCCACCACGACGCCCTGACAGTCTTGCCTGCATCACTGCTGGCTCCGCCACGGCCGCTGTCGGCCTTGGAGCTGTCGCCAGCAAAAGCGGTTACGTCGCCGCCATCCCCTGTCCATCGCGTGAGGAGGGTGCGTGGCACAACCGCTGCGTGTGCGTGCGAGTGGCCGAGCATCAGCGCCGGCGGTGTTAGCAGCACCTCGCGCCCGCCGCTGGATCGCCAGCCAAACCCAGGCCCGCCCTGCTGCAGCGATGCCTTGGACATGAAGTTGAACATGTGGCTGCGGACAAGATTCGCGTCAATACGCGACAGCGGGCTGAACGGCGCCGTCTGATCAAGCACGGGCCCAAGCCACTCCTGTGCCTGCGCCTGTGCCTGCGCCTGCGCCTGCGTATGTGTCTGCACCTGCGCCTGCGTCTGTGCCTGCGCCTGCGTATGTGTCTGCTTGTTCGAAGGGTTGTGGTTTGGTGTGGCCTTCAGTTTGAGCGCGCCTGGGCTGGTGGTACCCGAAGACGCGTGGGTGATGTATGACGAGCTGCTGATGGCCTCGCACAGCAGCTGCTTGGTCGCTTTAAGCCTGGCTGCTTCATCTGCGTCATCACTGCTGCCGCCACTGCTGCCACTGCCCTCCGCAGCCTGGCTCGGATGCATGAGTTCAAACGTGCGTGCAACACCGGTCATGTCCTGCGTGTTGAAGCGAACACCAAGCGCTGCCAGCACGCGCTCCAGCGACGCGTCCGCGCCCTGCTTGCGCGTAAACGGGACACTTTTCCCCGCCCAGGCAGCAACGTTCAGGGCGACGGCCTCGCGGTGGCGCATGCCTGCACGGAACGACTCGGCAGCGGCGGATGTGAGCACCGTGTCACCGCCATCGCCATCGCCATCCGCACCACCCGTTCCCCCTTGCTGCAGGGGATGAACGCTGGTGTCAAGGCGGGCGGCGTCGCCTCCATCACCTTCACGTGCGTCGCACTTGTCGGCTGCAGTTGTGTCGGCAGGCGTGTCCTCGGATGTGCTGTGCAGGCGGGAGAAGGCAGGGGAAGGCGCCTCTGCTCTGGCCAACGGCAGCATGCCAAGAGGGGTGGTGGGCATGAGGCCGTGGCGGTCGTGCCCGCGCACGAGCAGCACATTGGGTGGGCTCTTCTCCTCCTCGTCGCACGCAGAAGATACCATAAACGTGTCCTCCGTTGCCGCTGCGCCGTGGGAGCCGAGCAGCGCAAGTGCATCCGTGTTGGACGCCGGCGACTGCAGCAGCACAAGCACCGCGCGCTTCACAACAGCGAGGCACTCGTCGTACTCGTCGGAGAGGAGGCGGCCCCACGTGGCCACGACCGCCTGTGCGGCCTGCAGCGCCACATGCGCCGTCCAGCCGTCCCCAGCGGTATCCAGCAGCGCCGCAACCTCCGCAAACAGGAAGAAGCGCTCGTGGGTCTGCAGCTCTGGCCGCACGCCCAGCTGCAGCACGCGCGTCACAGCACCGCCAACCGTCCATGACTGCAGCAGCTCCTGCGCATCGCGGGCAGCATCGGCAGCATCCAGGTCCGTGTACGTCGCCAGGGCTGCATCAGGGGTGGCCAGCAGCTGCTGTGACAGCAGCGGCGACACCTTTCGCACCTGGTATGCCGCTGTGCCGCCAGCCATGCTCAGCTGGAGCGGGGTGATGGACTCTGTCGTGACGAGCACCATCATCGGCAGTGAGTCCAAGGCCTGCACAAGGCGCGTGCCCTCCGCTTCCTCGTGGCCAACACGCTCCAGCACCTGTACAACGGCCTGTCTGCAGGCGCTCACCCCTGCGCGAACGGCACCCGTCACGTCGAGCTCGTAATCGTACAGGGCCGCTCCAGGGTCCTTGAACGCGTCTGGCGATGATGACGATGACGAAGACGGCCCCGCTGACGGCGACGAGGAGCACAGTGTGCCCACCATGACGGGCTGAACGAGGGATGGCGCGGCGTACTTGACATCAAGCAGCGCCTGCACATCCACGCGCTCATCAGCCAGCGCAAGCACGGGCGCGCTCATGTAGTGCACAGTGACAGACATTGTGGCCGTGTTGGGTGGCTGCTCGGTCAGCCGAAGCGTCAGAAACACCTCCTCCACAGTCTGCGCGCACGAAAACATGAACTTGTGCACGGGCCCTTGCTTCAGCTGCCGTGCCACGGACAGCTCCAGGTGCTCCCGCACGAGCACGGTTGGTGAGGATGCCGGCGCTGTGGGGGCCGTGGTGCCAGTACGGCTACTGGCGCGTGCGCTGGTGCTTGAACGTTTGGTGGTGTCTTCCAAGAGGTGTGGCACCCGCTGCTGCTGCCCGTGCAGCTGGTGTTGCTGCTGGGACACTAGCGTCGAGATGATGTGCCACAACAGCGTCCCTGGCTGTGCGGCGTGGATGTCGTTGCCAAGCACGAGGCGGAGCCACGTATCAAGGGGCGCGCCGGGCGGTGTGCGCAGCAGGCGAGCAAGCGCAAACGCGCTGTACGTGCTGCCAACGTGCAGCCAGCGTGGCACGAGCCACTGCGTTGCTTGGAAGCAGAACCTGGCCAGGGCTGGCTCCGTGGAGGTGAGCGACACGACAGCTGACTTGATGCTGTTGGTGGCGTCCAGCACAGCGCGCAGATCTTCAGAGTGCCAGGACTGGATTGCCGAGGGCCCACACAGCAGCATGCGCGCCAGGAGCGCAGCCGTGCACTTGAAGGCGAACATCTGCTCCCAGTACTTTGCACTGCGAGCATGAACACCACCTTTGTCAGTGGCGCTGTGCTCCTTCTCATTGATGCTGTCGCCCTCGCTGGCGCAGCCGTTGCTGGTGTCCGATTTCGCCTCGGCAGCGGCCTTGGCCAGCGCCACCATGTCAGGCACGCTCCTCAGCAGCTCTGCCCACTGCAGCAGCAGGGTGCGGAAAAAGGCGGGCGAGACGGACAGCTGAAACGAGTGCGGTCGCGACCACCGACGCAGCACCATCAGCTCTTCCGTGGGCACTGACACAATGGCCATCACAGCAGAGGGCGTGCTCGCCACGGTGCCATCACAGCTGCCGTCGCTTTTCAAGCAACAACTGTCCTTGGGAGCGGTGTCCGTGGAGGCCCCATCAACGCTGTCATCACCAACACCACCATCACCACCATCACCACCATCACCACCACGGGCGCCTGATGGTGCCGGCGACGACGACGACGACGGCGACGACAACAGCAAAGGCGACGTTGGCGGTACGGCTGTTGCAAATCCACCGAGTGGCGTCAGCAAACGCGAGATAGCGGGCGCAATACCGGCAGGGGCAACGCGAGCCCCCTCGATGCCAACCACTGTGAAGGTGAGGTCGACATGGCCCGAAAACCCGGCAGGGAACGGCCCAATCGTGAAATTGGCTTCATCGTACAGCAGCAGAAACGCGCTCGCGCCGAGCGGCCGCATGGCAATGTGGCGGAAGCTGTAGTAGCAGGGTGCCATCGGAGGAGCGTGTGCCGCTGTTGTCGTTGAAGTTCCCGACGAGGTTGCCGTTTCTGTCGCCGATTCTGTCGATGCTGCTGTTTGTGTTGCTGTTGGTGTTACAGATGGTGATGTGGCGTCCGCCACCATAACAGCGCGGGCACAGACCTTGACGGGCCGCACCCACAGTGACTCTGAGTCGGGGATGTCAATCCACAACGCAACGCCGCGAAGGCAGACCCCAGTGTTGACAGGCGTGGACACACGCAGCCGCATCCTTGCTGTGGGCCCGAGGCGCGGCCCCACGTGCGCAGCGCAGCTGTTGGCATCACCTTCGTGGCCGTAACCACCGTTTGTTTTCTCTTCCTCGTCTACTGCTTCCTCGTCTTCTTCTTCCTCATCTTCCTCATCTTCGTCGTGCTCTTTGGGGACGTTGTGTCTCTCGCCCTTGGCGGCCGGGTCGCCAGGCGTCACGGCAGGACGGTTGCGGCTCGCGTTCTCGCTGCCGTTCGCGTCGTCACTGTTGGTGGTGGCGGTGGTTCCGTGCTCTTCGCAGGGCTCGGCGCTGCTTGAGAGGCAGGAAGGGACCGTATCGGGCAGGTGGGCCAGCTGCACGCATGTGCGCGCCATTGCCGTGTGTTTGGCATCGGCGCTGGCGCTGGCTTTACCCGACAGCAAGAAGCGAAGCTCTGCGTCAAGGGCAGCGCGGGCATCTGCGTCCTGCACGTCTGTCAGAAGCCGGTGGCACAGGGACGAGTACAGCACGCACGACACGGTGTGTTCTGTCACCTCCTCCCCAACACTGGCCACCACCAGGGCGGTGTCCGCCTGGCGGCGTGACAGCCAGCACGCACTGTCATCGGTCATCGCTGACCAGAACGACGTGCGCGCCGGCGAGCCCAAGTCAGCCAGGGCGCGCGGCAGTGATGGCGGCGCACCTGAGGAAGACACGGCAGAAGCGGACGACGAAACACTGGCAGGCGTGGTCGCATCGTGCGTGGTTGACGACGATGCTGAAGCCGTTCCTGTTGCTGCTGTTGCATCAGCACGTGTCGCTGACGATGCTGGGGGCGGCGACGACTGCTTGCGAGGGTACGACGACACGTCGCCAGGGGCCGGTGGAGATGACGATGACGATGACGATGACGATGGTGGCTGTGGTGGCCGCGACGATGCTGCCGTGGCAGCGAACGGCGCGGTGGGGGTGGAGGCGGGGGTGGACAGCCCCCTGGTGAGCGTCTTGAGAGGGTCCTCCGTCGTGAGCAACGAGGACAGCGGCAGTGTCCGCAACACCTTGATGTCTGTTGGGGACTGCAGCTGCCACACGCACTTGTCCGTCGCCACCACGTGACGCGAGTCGCACTGAAACGCGGCGGGCTGCGCTGATCGCGGGCTGAGCCGCAGGCCATACTCGATTGGCCGCACATCTGTGACCGTGTTGGTGGAGCCGGCCGTGCCCGTGAGAGCGTGCTCGGGCCACGCCATCACCATGTACCCACAGGTGGAGGTAACAAAGCTGAGGAACGATGGGCACATGCGCTTTTGCGTGCAGCACACGTAGAGGCTGTCCTTGTCTTGTGTCTGCGTCACGTGGATGACGTGCTTGACCCGCTCATGCAGTCGCGACGCCAGCGACGCGTCGCTCTGTTCACGCACGTGAGATGACACGTTGAATTGGACGTGTGAGGGAGTTGGCGCATGGCAAGGAGCGACCAAAGAAGGTGGGGCCCAACAACACAACACGCACACGACACTGGGACAACCATCACAAAATGACACAGCTACACGCCTACGCGCAGGAACGTGTACACGTGTACACGGAAATGTGCACAAAAAAACTGTAAGAACGGGAGCAAGCGTGCGTACCGCGCGCTGGAGGAGGCGCCGGTCTGTAGTAACAATGGAAATCTGCTCATTGTGGAGAAAGCAGCTGAGGGCTTCAAATGCGCCTGTTTCGCTGTCCTCAGCCTTGATCTGCTTCCACGGCAGCTTGGACGACAGCCCACTCGACGTTGACGCAACGTACACCTGCAAACCGGCAGAGGTGGCGGCAGGCAACAGCACGTGGCGGTGTAAGAAAAAAAAAAAGACAAGACAAAGTGTTGGATATGTGGGGAGCAGAAGAGAGAGAGAGAGAGAGAGAAAGAGAGAGAGAGAGAGAGAGAGAGTGTGTGTGTGTGTGTGTGTGTGTGTGTGTGTATGAAGGCAGCAGGGTGCACATGAGTGCATGGACGCATGGCCGCATCGCGGTTGGAGACAAAGTGCAGCCCAGCACGACAGCAGAGCGCACTACACACCGTGTGGTCCGTGGTGACAATAGCGATATGCGAGGCAGAGACGTCAACATCGATGACAGCCGTAACTGTAAGCGGTAGCGCAACCTCCACGCGGTCATCGCCCTCTGCTGCGACTGTCGCCTCGCCAGCTGTTGCCTCAGCTGGCCCTGTTGCCTCAGCTGGCCCTGTTGCCTCACCAGTCGCTGCTGTGGAGTGAACCGCATCGCTTCCAGCCACGTCAGCATCACCCTCCTGGCCGACACCATCACCCTCACCGGCCTCAGGTTCCTTGGCCGCTGGTGTCGCCACCGTCGCTGAGGGCGGCACGCGATCGCGCTCTGGAGACCAGCGTGGCGGGCGGTGTGGGTGGCGGCGGGCAATTGACGCCATGCTCGGCGCCCACAGCTCACGCAGCAGGCTGCCCTCGTCTACGTCGTCTCCATCACCACTCATGGCCGTGTCAACATCGAGCACACCATCAGCACCCTCGCCCGCGGACTGCCCGTTGGCATCGGGAGATGGCGCCTTCAGGTCGCCCACGCCGCCACTTGCCTTTTTCGCCAATGCATCTCCGGTCCCCTTCTTCTTCTCTTTCTTCTCTTTCTTCTCTTTCTTCTTTTTCTTCTTCTTCTCCTTCTTCTTGCTCCTCTTGCTACTGTCCTTAGCCTGTCCCAGCGTGCTGTTGGCTGACAGCCGTGCGGTCCCCGTGCCCTCCTTCTTGTCCTTTTCCTGCGCGTCTGCGTTGGGCTGCAGGTGATCCAGCACAAAGGAGACGCGAGGCCGCTTCTTCTTCCGCATTGCCGTTGCCAAAGATGCTCCAACCTCCGTTGCTGTCTTGTCGGTGTCAGCACCACGCTCTTCCTTGTCGTCATGACCCTGTTCTTCGCTGCCTTCACCAGCACCTTCGGCCTTGCTGCTGCCTGTGGGTGTGCCGTCGGTGGCAGCGCCACGCGTGCCCTTTTCTGCTTCGTGTCGTGTGGTCGTGGTGGAGGCGGTGGAGGTGCCGGGCGTCTTGTCACCGCCTTCTTCCCGCTCTGCCTTTGCTTCACCTTGCTGCGCGTCTTCTCCTTCTTCTTCTCCAACACCATTCGCACTGGCTTCTTCGCCGTCTTCTTCGCCGTCTTCTTCCTTCAGGACAGCCAGTCCACTTGACGCCAGCCCGTGCTCTGCCGCCTGTGCTGCCTTGCCTTCGAGCTGCTCGTTTGCGCGCTTCAGCATGGCAGCGAGGCCGCTCTCCTCGCACGGCCTGCCCGCCAGCCGACGCAGCACTTCCCGCGCATTGCGGCGCGCTGCACTGCGCAGCATCAGCACTCGCCCAACAACACCCTCGTTGCGGTGCTGCTGCTGCTGCTGCCGCGATATTGATGGGGACGATGACGATCGTAGCGTCGATGATGATGATAATGATGACGGGGCTGGACGCAACGCCCTCCGCTCGCCGTTTAAGCGAGTGCGCATTGTCCGCCGCCGCCCGGTGAGCCGGTCTGAAGGCCATGATAATGGCAGAGGGCAGATGTGGGTGAGAGTATGAGCGAGTGTGTATGTGCAAGTGAGTATGTGTAAGTGAGTATGTGTGCGGGGCGGGGTGTAGGGTTCGGCTGTCAACAAAGCAATCCCCAACATGAGTCCGGAGAACACAGCAGCAGCAGCAGCAGCAGCAGCAGCAGCAGTGAAGATGGTGTGTCACGAATCGTACTACCTTTGCCGCCGTATCGCTTTGAGAACTTTGTCGAGGCCGAGGAGGCAATATCGAGCACAAACAGCGGGTTGGCAACGACAACAAGTGCACCCGTTGTTGTGCGCAACAGCAGCTGGCGCCGGTTGTCGGCGCTCGCAAACACAACAACATCGACAATGCCCTCGCCCTTGGGGGGGAGGGGCGATGAAAGGCAGAACGAATAACGGAGAACCGCAGAGACGGAAGCATTGAGTGGATGTAATGGGCGTGAGGTGGGGCAAATTACATGAAGTGCGCGTGTCAAGAAATTCAGGACACAAAACGGGGGCAGGGGAGACTGCGCGAGCAATGTGGAAAAATCATGTGACGTACTGGCTTGAGGGAGATGTTTGTAAGGCGCTGCTGGATGGTTTCCTTGGTGTTGAAGATGAAGATGGCGTTCGATTGCATCAGGAAGAGGTACTCGTGCTCCGACCACAGCCGCACACACTTCACGGGCTCGTCTGTGACGGTGGGGGCAATGGAGCAGGGACGAAAGGGGAATGTTCAAACAGGGTGGTGGCGTGAACAATCGGTTGGGGCGGGGTGAGCAAAAGGTTGGGAGGACAATGGGATGCAGAACAGGGAAAAAGGCCTTGCTCGCGAGAGAGAGAGAGAGAGAGAGAGTGTGTGTGTGTGTGTGTGTGTGTGTGTATGTGTGTGTGTGTGAGTGCGGGCGCACCAAATGAGGCGAGGACGGAGAGTTTTGGTGGCACAGTTTTGTCCTCCACCATGGTCAGCATGTCAAAGTTGGAACGCTGGACAAGAAGGCGGTCGGTGATGTTCTCAGCTGCATAAAAATAATGAATGAATGAATGTGCGTGCGCGTGTATGTGTGTGTGTGTGTGTGTGTGTGTGTGTACGAATGCAAACGATGAGTGGAAGAGTTTGATTTCAACATCCAGAAAATGTCCAACAAGCACTCACTCACTCACTCACTCACTCACTCACTCACTCATTCACTCACTCATTCACACACACACACACTCACTCACTCGCTCACTCATTCACTCACTCACTCACTCACACACGCTCACACACTCGATCACTTCCCCTATGCGTCAACACAACGATGGCCAACACAACGGTCCCCTCGCCCCTCTTTCATGTCATGGTGAAACGGGCGCACCGAGGAAGATGTATGATCCCGTCAGTCGAAACACAGGCGTGCCCGAGTTCAACTGCAGCCGCTCCCAGTCGTCCTGATGACGGCACACACGCGCACGTACATGCACGCACACGCACGTGCATTTCAGGGGAAGGGACAAGGAGAACGGGTGAGCTGGTGTGTGCTGATGTGCGGTACATCACACACCATCACATTGAACCGCGGAACAGCTCTCACTCGCGTTTGACACGCCACCCCCAAGTTGGTTCCGCCCTCCCCTGAAAAGGTTGCGAGCAATGGATGACATACGTGCGCTGTGTCCTGGTCGAGCTTCAGGGTAAGGGACTTGATGTAGACGTTGCAGCCAAACTTGACCGCGTCCATCCACGACGACGTCATGTACGCATCAAACCGGTCCCCAAGCAGTTGGCCTACAGGTCATTTGGGATGAATTGGGCGAGGACGTGAGCGTTGTGTGTGTGTGTGTGTATGTGTTTGTGTGTTGTGTGTTGTTGTGTGTGTGTGTGTGTGTGTGTGTGTGTGTGTGTGTATGCCTGTGTCTGTGTCGGTGTCGGTGTCGGTGTCGGTGTACGTGTGTGCGTGCGCTTGTCTGTTTGTCTCTCTCCCTCTCGCTGTCTCTCCCCCTCTGGGTCGTACAGAGGGTGCAGGAGCGCGTCAGGCTGCCGGGATCCGAGACGCGCTCCAGTTTGTCAAAGACAACATGATCTTGCATCATGATCGAACGGGTGTGGTCTGCTCGCGCAAGATGGATGCAGCCATTGCTGCTGTGTGGATCGAGGCACAGCGCGCTCGTTTCCCAAACTGAACGCACAGCAAGGCAATACGTAAGAACGCGTGGCATATTTCTGGTGGAGCAATAACGGCGTGGACTACACACAGGCAAACAAACAACCATGGCGTGCGCCATGCCCTGACCAGTAAGCACGCGAAACCAGAACAACACCATCGCCACCATCCACGGCAAGCGCAACCACCACCAACACCACCACCAACACCACCACCAGCAACGCCAACGCCAACGACAACGACAACGACAACAACAAGCGCAGCACCGATGGGGAGTGCGGAGGAGCGCCAGCATATGTGGGGGCGAAAGGCGTGGGTGAACAAATGGCACTGCTTGTCCTTGATCATGTCTGTCGTAATCACCGCACCAACAATCTGCGCGATTGCAGCCAACACAGGGACGGAAGAGGGCAAGCGTAAGAATTTGCACTGAGAAACGTCAGCCACAGGCTGGCCGCCACACCTTGGCCAACACGTGTGCAGCAGCAGCAGCAGCAACCACCAATGCGCGTACGTCGTATTGCGCTGCGGGTGCCTGGCCCTCGTGCGGAATGACGTGCAGCTTTGTCGACTCTGCCACGAGGACATACACGGTGCCATCGGCAATGGTGGCCGACACGGGCGTGACGGACTCGCTTGGAAGGGGGATGGGAGTAGTGACGGTGGAGACGTTGTCGATGAGATGGGGTTAGGATGAGGGTTAGTGGCATGTGATGGCGACGGTGTTGTGGAATGTCGCGGAAGCAACACATGGCACGCAGACAAGAGCACACACATACGCACGCGCATACACACACACACACATGGCACGCAAACGAGCACACACAAGAGCGGCTTACCCGAGAGGGGAGGGCTTGATAAAGGCAATGCTGAGCTCGCCCGGTGTTGGCGTCGGCACGAGCTTCACAAACGTCGAGGCTGTGAGGTAGAAGAGCGCGCCGTTGCCTGCAAGCACGCACGCGGAGTCCAGGTCAATGCCCAGTTGCGACAGGCGGCCTGCATCACGCACGCGCATGCTGGTGGCGGAAAAGTCCCGCTCAGGGAGGAGCGTGTTGACAATGTCGCGAGGCTGTAGTGGGGCAGGCGAATGCGGGGAGCACGTGTCGACGGAGGAGGATGCCGCTCCTGTCAGGTCCGGTGGGGGCGGTGCTCGCGGCACAATGGACGTGGAGTGCTGCATCCATACACCCGTCGACATGTGCAGCTGCGCCAAAGGCTGTGTGTGTGTTTTTTTGTTTTTGTTTTTTTGTTTTGTTGGTTTTTTTTTTTTTTTGTTTTGTGCGTGTGTGTGTGTGTGTGAATATGAACAGGATTGTGAGGTAAAGGCACTTATAAAGCGCCGGCAGCATGATTAGCGCTCAAGCACATCCACACACCACCTCCACGAGTTCATTAACACTCTATATCCTCCCGCCTCCGTCTTCATCACCTCGGAGACTGGGATGGTGCGGTGTGAGCCGCGAAGTTGCGACGCCAACACGAGCATGGCAGACGCATCGCCGCTCGCAACGACAACAGCCACCCGAATCTGCTCGACAGCACAGGAGGAGGCATAGAAGATGAAACGTGACGTAAAGTAGAGGAGAGGTGAAGGAAAGAACGTAATTGGGTGAGCATTGTTAGTCTGTGAGTGTGTCCGTGTGTCTGTGTCCGTGTGTCTGTATCCGTGTGTCTGTATCCGTGTGTCCGTGTGTGTGTGTCTGTGTGTGTCTGTGTGTGTGTTTGTGTTGGCTCTTGTCGACCATGCATGCACACAAACAAAACACACAGCGAATACACAGAGCTGCATCTGTGGGCACATGTTCCCTGACAAGCACGCACCCTCTCCCCTCCCCCCCCCCTCACGAATGTATTCCAAACACACACACACACACACACACACACACACACACACACACACACACACACACCTCAACGATGAGCCGTTGGAGCGTGCTGTGATCGCGGTGTGCGCGCTGCAAGTTGTCCAGAGCCTCCAAGATTGCGCCGAGGATGTCGTTGTCGGTGCCGCTGTCTCGATCGGACACGAGCGGCTGCAGCTGCCCAAATCTGAGCTTACTCGTCACATACTTCACGCGCGTCACAATGCGCTCGGCAGCCTTGCACACACACGCACGCACACAAGTGCAGCGTGGTCATACGTGAGAACTTCGAATGCGCAGTGCGCAGTGCGCAGTGTGTAGTGTGTACAGTACGCTGCGCAGTGTGCAATGTGTGCAGTGTGCGGCGTGCTGCTGTTGTGGCAGCGCCCATGCAATCAGAGCACGCGAGCAACACAAACAGCGGCAGGATGTGCTACCTGTGGATTGGCACTGCTGGCAGACTTGATCTGCTGTACAATGTACTGCAAGGACTGCGGCTGTGGGTGTGGGTGGGTGTGAGCGAGAACCAGCAACACAGGGAGGGCATCAAGTTGAAAAAGCCAGCATTAGCGCAAGGAAATGTGGCACACAGCATCAGGAAAGCGCGGCACCACACAGCACCACACAGCACCAACGCAACGGCAAGAACCAAAGCAAACCAGGCTGCACTGTCGCCACACAGCCTGCCTCACATTGGTCATGATGACGTTGGGTGCGGCGCTAATGCACCGCTGTCTGTGAATCGAACTGGCAGTGGAAACGAGAGTGGGCGTCGAACGTGCTTCGGTGTGTCACTGTGACCAAGCTGAAGAAGGCGAAATAACAACGCACAGCGAAAGGAATGGCGGAGGATGGCGAGCCGTCACTGTGAGCACCGCAAGAAGCAGACGGGACTGTCGACAACTGGCAGTTGGATGGCTGGTGTGTTGACAAGTAAACCAGCCACGAAATGCTCGCAATCAAAGAGAACAAGCGTTGGCACCAGCCAGGGTTGCAACACCAGTGCGAGCGCACTGTGCAGGCCTCTGTGGCGGTGACTCAACAACAAACCAAGGAGCAAGACAGGATCGACTACCACACCAACACCACCAACAATGTCCCCTCTGTTCACCTCAACGTCCTCTTTCTTCTTCTTCTTCTTCTTGCGCGGAAATGGTGGACGCGATTACGGAAATATTGCCATGACATTGCGATTAATCAGCACCCAAACAACAAAGAGGAACAAGCAAGAAGGAGAAGGAGAGCGAAAAGGAGGCAGCCTGGCAACAACACCACTGAACACCAACAACTGGCATGTCTTCGCAAGTTGTGGTGAGACTCTGTGTGCTTTGTGTGTGTGTGTGTGTGTGTGTGCTTTGTGTGTGCTTTGTGTGTGTGTGTGTGTGTGTGTGTGTGTGTGTGTGTGTGTGTGTGTGTGTGTGTCTGTGTGTGTGTCTGTGTGTGTGTCTGTGTATGTCTGTGTATGTATTGTTTCTTTGTGATTGACATTCGCAGATGCATGTTGTCGTGCGCACCGCGGATTCAGGTCGTTGGCGCGTCCAACATGGACCTGACCAGGTATTCCACTGCTGTTGCTTGCATTTATCGCACTGGCAAGGTGCTCACAACCAAGCTGTGTTGATCTTCACCACCTCTCCACGCGTCACCTCACCAACGCGACTTTCTTTGTGCATTTATCTGCCACCATTTCATGTGCAACAGCTATGTGCCATCTCTGCCAAAGCCTGGTGAAACCCTGCACGGCCACTGCTTCAAGGTTTGGTGAACGAGGGTGCTGCCAGGAACGTGTCTTGATGTGGTGGCCAGATTACGTGTTGATATTGTCTTGACTGTGTCTTGTTTTTTGTCTTGGATTTGGACAGATTTGGCTTAATACTGTCTTGATTGTGTCTTGCTTTGTCTTGATTGTGCCTGGCTTTGGCTAAATGTTGCTGTGCTATGAGGTCTGCAGCTTCGGCTTTGTGCAGCGCGCAGCATTTTGACTTTGCATGTTGCGCACACTTCGCTTCGCTCATGTGGTGTTATGCTTGGTCCGGTAGAAAGGGTTTGGCGGCAAGGGCGCCAACCAGTGCGTCATGGCGGCCAAGCTCGGCGCATCCACGGCAATGGTGACCAAGGTTGGCAAGGACGTGTTTGGCAAGGAAACCAAGGACAACTACGAGCGGTATGGCATCAACACGGAGCACGTGCTGGAGGACGACGCAGAGTTTACGGGCGTCGCCCCAATTGCCGTCGATGACGCCGGTGCGTTTGGTTTTGTTTTGTTTGGTTTGGTTTGGTTGATTGAGAGAGAGAGAGTGTGTGTGTGTGTGTGTGTGTGTGTGAGTGAGTGAGAAAGAGAGTGTGTGTGTGTGCGTGTGTGTGCTGTGTGTGTGTGTGTGTGTGTGTGTGTGTGGCTGTGTGTGTGTGTGGCTGTGTGTGTATGGCTGTGTGGTTGTCGATGTCTTTCCTTTCTGCGATTGCTGCGAATGATATGCATGCTACGTGGGCAGATAAGACCCCTCATCCCTTCTGGCGTCATTCCGCGTCCATCTTCCCTACTCCCTCTTCCTCCTCCTTTTGTCTTGTGAACAGGGCAGAACAGCATCATCATCGTGAACGGTGCAAACGACAAGCTGTCTGAGGCTGATATTGGCCGGGTAGAGGACTTGATCGCACACGCAAAGGTCCAGCAGCGATCTATGACACTCATGTGTGTGTGCACGTGCGAAAGGATGAATTGCGCGTCGTTGTTCTGCCAGTGATGACAACGTGCACACTCTCCAAGCTCGCTCAACACCCGCCTCCACCTCACCCTCCACCTTCTCCTCACCACTCTGCACGGTTGGCCAGGTTGTGATTACACAGTACGAGATTCGCCCAGAGACCACGCTCGCGGCGCTGCGACTTGCAAACAAACACGGCGTGTTCAGGTGTGTGTGTGTGTGTGTGTGTGTGCGTGTGTGTGTGTGTGTGTGTGCGTGTGTGTGTGTGTCTGTATGAAAGAATGGCTGTACTTGCATGGTATGAACACGCGATTGTAGCCTGCACACGAGTAAACTACACACGCACACACACAACACCCCTTCCCCCTCCCCCCCCCGGCAATCTCCACAGCATCTTCAACCTTGCCCCCGCAAAGGCCGAGATTGCTAGCGAGCTGTTCACGCTTCCCGACATTTTCTGCGTCAACGAAACGGAGGCAGCGATGGTCACGGGTGTCGATGTCCAAACCGTCCAGGTGCCGCACACATGATGCTGACGTGCCGCTGTGTGTCTGTGTGTGTCTGTGTGTGTCTGTGTGTTTACCTGTCTGCCTGTGTACTCGCAGCACCCACGCTTTGCATTCATGCACGTCCTTTGTCTCAACATGTGTGTGTGCGTGTGTGTGCCAGGACGCTGAAGCCGCTGCCCGTGCTCTGCAGGACAAACACAACGCAAAATGCATCATCATCACCCTCGGGCCCCAAGGTATTGGGGGGCTTTGTCTCTTGCAAGCTGCATGCATGCATGCATGTGTGCAAGCATGCATTCATGTGTGCTGTCCTTTCTTCCCTCATTCTCTTTCCTGCACTCATCTTGCTCGCACCTCAAAGCCCGTGACACCCCCTGTTCCTTCCGCCCTTCCCACCTTCAGGCACATATGTGCTGCCGAAACCCGGCGACGGCGACCCGTTCCACATGCCGGCAACGAAAGGTGCATTGCCACTCGCTCATCTCCACACGCGCCATGTGCCGGGTGGTCATGTCATGCTGGGGCATGGCATGGCTCGCGGCATCCCTAACCCACACTCACTCACTCGCACACCCCACCTTGCGCTGCAGTCACTGCCGTGGACACGTCTGGTGCCGGCGATGCGTTCATCGGCGCTCTTGGTCAGACTACCCCCATTCAATTCCATTCCATTCTGTTGTGGTCGCGGTTGCGTTTGGGGGGATGAGTACTCTGCTGTGCCTCTGTTGTGTCTCGCGCGTGTGCACTCACCTGCTGTGACGTCTGTTTCCCTCTCACACAATCACCGCAATCACGGTAATCACGGCAATCACCACCACGCCACAATCCTCTCCCCACTTCGTTCTCAACCCCCTCCCACCGTGATCACAACCATCTCTGCAGGGTACTTCCTGGCGACAGACCCGTCGCTGCCGCTGCGAACGGCGGTGGCCAAAGCCGGTGCCATTGCGACTGTCTCCGTGCAGCAGCAGGGCACGCAGAGCAGCTACCCCGACGCAAGCGTCCTCGCCTCCCTCCATACAGGTCGGCGGCATTGTGTGTGCATGTCTGTGTGTGTGTGTGTGTCTGTGTCTGTGTCTGTGTCTGTGTGCGTGTGTGTGTGCATGTGTGTGCCTGTGTGTGTGCATGTGTCTGCCTGTGTGTGTGTCTGTGTCTGTGTGTGTGTGTGTGTGTGTGTAGCATGTCGTGATGTCTTGGTTGAGCTTCTCTGCCAGCTTTGCCTTGTGCCGTGTGCACAGTGTCCCTTTGCTTCATTAACCCTGTTCCAGCTCACACCACGTCCACACTCCTCTCTCCGCTGTTGTTTATTGTTGTTGTGCTGTCGGCCATCCACGCTGATGTGCACGATGGTAACGTCAGAATAAAGAGTAAACGCAACGCTGCGAGGCCGTAACTTCACAGAACATGGGGTAACAACACCAACACAACCAATGCCATATCACAATCAACATCGTAACCGTGCGCACGCGCACAGGCAGCAGTCTTGAGTAGCAAAAGAACCACCACAGGGTCTGAAGATACGCAACGGCGACAGAACAATGCATCATAGTATCACCACACACTTGACACTCCCGAACCACAGCACACGCACGCAACCACCACGCCCATGACTCTTCATCACGACTACCACCACAACAACAACAACAACAGCAAGCGAGCACTGCGACCATCACTGCATTGTCATAACTGCGACCACCACGGCATTGTCATAACTGCGACCATCACTGCATTGTCATAACTGCGACCATCACGGCATTGTCATAACTGCGACCATCACGGCATTTTCATAACTGCGACCATCACGGCATTGTCATAACTGCGACCATCACGGCATTGTCATAACTGCGACCATCACGGCATTGTCATAACTGCGACCATCACTGCATTGTCATAACTGCGACCATCACTGCATGGCCGGTGCCTCCGTTTCCTCCTCCGTCGCTGCCGCCATCTTCGCCCGCCGGCGGTTGCGGTGCACATCAACAGCAATCCCGCGCGACACACACGCCGCAGCTGGTGGTGTGGTGTGGTGTGGTGTGTGGTGTGATGTGGTGTGTTGTGTTAAGTTGTGGCGGGATTAGAATGAAGACGAGAAACACCAACACGCGCACGTGCACGCACGCATGTACGACGTCGACACGAGCAGTAATGACGACTGTGCTGCCTCACCAAGTTCCTGCTGCAGCGCTGGGGAAATGAAGTTGAGCGTCAACACAAGCAGCTGCATGTGGTCGAGGGAGCCCGATGTGCAAAGATCTACGATGCCCCGTGCACACGCGTCGCCAACTGACATGAAACGAAAGCGGTCAAAGTGCGCGCGTGAGTGTGGTGCATGTGCATGTGCAAGGTGGGGTCTGTAACAGGGATCCACAAATGCACAGCCTCCTGCCACTCCTCCCACAATTGCACACATGCACACATGCACATACACCCACGCACGCACATGTCAGCACACATGCACGTGCACGCACATATCAGCACGCATGCATGCATACACACACATACACAGTGCACAGTGACGTACTGCTGTTGTCGTGCAGACTGGCAACGAGCAGTGCGGGCATGGAGGCAAAGCCGGACACGAGCGCCGTGCACGCGTCATCGTCAATCTCCAGTCCACCCAGCACCACCTGATGGCATCGAAAACACGGCAGCACACACACACACACACACGCGCGCGCGCGCGCGCAGAAACATACACATACACACACATTTACACATACACATACACACACACATGCACAACGGCTGGAGATGAGACGCAAGCAGATATCACAAGAGCAAATGCACAACAGAACATGAGCACATAAGAGTCTGAGATGGGGGACGCACCCGGGTCAAATGAAGGTCTTGTCGCTTGGCAAGAGCCTGTGCAGCGTCCACGCCCAAGTACGATGCATAGCTGCCTTTGTCCACACCTGCACCCGTTGGCAAGTAGGGGGGAGGAGGTGATTCCGTGTTGCTGCAGCGCATTAAAGTGCGCGCGCACATGTACACACACACACATACACACACACACACATACACACATACACACTCACACACACACACTCACTCACACACACACACATACACATATTTTCACTCACGCATATTCACACGCACACATACACACACATACACACACATATTTTCACTCACGCATATTCACACGCACACATACACATACACACACACACATACACATATTTTCACAGACAAAGATCTCACATGACACTTCCAATCGCCGGAGGGACGTGGGGAGGGCTTCGAAGAGGGTGCGGATGTGGTGCTCTTCCAATTTGACATCACGAAGTAGAAGCGCTTCCAGGTGATTGCATTCGTCCATCACCGAGACGAGGACATCCATCGCTGCCGACGACTGGAGGCTGACATCGGAGAGGGTGAGCTCGTACAGCGACCACGCGCCCGGTATTAAGATGCTCGCCAGGGCTTCGCTGGAGACGTGCGTCGGCTTCCAGATTGCCAACGAGGCAATGTGGTGTTGAAAGAACGCTGCATGCATGAATTTCTGGATACGGGTGCCGTTGCTGAGCTCTGTGTTGTGGAAGACGACTGACACTTCTGCGTAGGATGCTTTGTTCCGATCCGCAAGCTCCCTTGCGTCACCAAGGCCCCCGCCACGGCTCTGCTGCTGCTGCTGCTGCTGCTGCTGCTGCTGCTGCTGCTGCTGCTGGTTGTGGTGTTGATGGTGGCCATGCTGTACATCACCGTCACCATTGCTGTTGCCGACGCTGACGCTGTCGAGCAGCGGGTCAGTGACGACGATGCGCACTAAAGGCGTGCTGTCCTCAGCGTGGTCGGCTGGTGTTCGCGGGCGCTCGTCGATGCATGCGTGCAATTCTGCGAGCGTCAACGGCGTGCACTTGTCCATGACCACACCGCTGTGGTCCAACCCCGCGCTGGCTGCCGCCACAGCTGCGATGCTCGCTGTGCCTGCCACCAACACCACCACCAACAACAACAACAAGACCCTCCATTGCCTTGTTGTTTGCCTTGCCATCGTCATCATCGTCATCGTTGGCATGAAAGAAATCTCTCAACAAACATTCGCAAATCTTCCACAATCGCACCTTCCGCAACGCCAAAGATAGACGTTGTGCACATTGCTCGCTTCCTTGCTCGTTTCCTTGCTCGCTTCTAGCTTCATCACACACACACAACACACACACACACACACACACACACACACACACACACACACACACACACACACACACACACAACACACACACACACACACCGCATACACAGCGAGATGGCAGGCGGAGGCGTCGTGGACCTGGTGCAGCGCATGCACTTGAAGTACAACGTCACCATCGGCCTGTACATGCTTGAGCCCTGGGAGCGGATGCTGTTCAACGGTGTGCTGATTGCCTTGTTGTCGCTGTGGATCTTCGCCACCATTCTCTACCTCCCAGCATGGCTTGACTTTGTTTGATCAAGCAGCGCAAAAGCGCTTGCGTGAAGCGTGCTGTTGTTGCTGCGCAAGCAGGAGTACGATGTAACCGTGCCTTTTTCCCGTTGGTTGTGGGTTGGGCACTCTGTCTTCTTTGCTTGCGTTCTGAGACCTAGTTCGTGTGCGTCTATGCGTGTCCGTGTGTGTGTGTGAATGTGTGTATGAATGTCTGTAAGTGTGTGTCCATATGTCGGTGTCTGTGAGACATGTTGTCGCATTGATTGTGAATTTGTTTGTTTCCCTTGTTCTGCCTGCCTCGTTGAGCCCTTTTCTTGCTTTCTCTCTGTACCGTTCGCTTAGCGTAGTCGCGTTGCTTGACTCCCAACCGCGCCCTCCTTGTCACTCCTTCTGTTCAACTCCCACTGTGAAAGTGCGCAATTTGATGGAACGCGCAGTGCCATGCGCTGATGCACTAAATACATACGCCCTTTGTGGTTTCTTTTACAATGGATAATGTGGCACTTGGGGTAAGGGCGGGGTGGATTTGTTAATGCACTGAAGCGCAGTGGAGGTGGAGTAACATGCACACAATGCAAGAAACGACAACACGCACACACACACACACACACGCTAGAAACGTGTTTGGTGAGCGCAGGCAGGTACAGCATCAAGGGCGATGCATCAAGCACACGGATGGGGGCGGGGCGGGAGAACGGGTGTTTGGCGCGACGATTGGGAGGGGGGATGTTACACGTGGTGCCAGGAACACCAACGAGGGAATAGGGCGAGGTGGGTGGCAATGGGGGATGCGGAGGCGAATGGACAAAGAGAATACCACAGAATGGGAGAGTCGAGAGAGATGAAGGCAGGAAGAGATAAAGAGGGAGTACAGACATGTACACTAATGTAAAGAAACAAAGATGGATGGACACAGAACACCCTCGACGTGAAGCAAAGAATGGTAGTGTGGAGGGGGGTGGAGGCGTATCAGTCGTGCTCAGTACGGGAGCTGGGACGACTGCTGCGCCACGTTTGCCTTGGTGACGGTGGTTGTGGTCGTGGATCCGTCGGGGTTGCTTGTCGTCGTCGTCGACTGCGACGAGCTCGAGTCTATTGTGTGTGTGTGTGTGTGTGTGTGTGTGTGTGTGTGTGTGTGTGTGTGTGTGTGTGTGTGTGTGTGTGTGTTATTGTGTGAAGGACTCCTGTCCTACCCCCCCGCCCCCAATTGAACAGCAACCCGCGTCTCTTTCAGCCACACTCATCCTCGCCCTTCCCCCATGCTCGCCGTTGATACAGGCATGCTTGCATGCAGAACAGCACCACCACCGCCAACAACAACAGCACATGTGATGGTGGACTCACGCGAGAATGCGGCGTCGCCCTGTCGCGCCTGCAGGAAGGCGAGGACCGCGGACACGAACCATCCAAACGCAGCAAAGAACCCCATCGCCTGGCCGTATTGGTGTGTGTGTGGGGGGGGGGGGGGTGTTCGTAGTCGTGAAGATGAGGAGGATTGGAGATGAGCGAGACCTGGGTGCTAGAGGAAGAGGAAATGCACACTCACACATGGAAGTACATATTCACACGCAAGCACACACACACACACACACACACACACACACACACACACACACAAGCATGTGTGCATACGCCCACTTCCCGCCACCGGCCTGCCCTCCACTCCAACGGCAGAACTCACGAGGCCAAACTGGTAGCCATCCTCGCCGTCACAGGCCGCCTTGAAGGCAGCGCTGTCTTTGGCATCGACCCAGTCCGAGGCATGCACGCCAGAGGCAATGATGGACATGAACCCCCACGACACGCACAGGCTCGCATCCTGCACAACACACAACACACAACACACAACACACAACACACATACACACAACACACATACACACACATATGGATGCACGTGAGATGGTGGGCTGGCTGGCATGCAGCGTTGCAGACGTACAGTACAGCCCTGTGCGCAGCAGGGATGAAGGGAAAGGGAGCGGTCGTTCCAGCTGAGCATGCAACGCCATACCGCCATGTAGTAGTTGAAGGGGAGACAAGAGGTGACGTTGCCGAGGAAGAAGACATATTCCGCGATGAAGAAGATGCTCAGAAGCCAGCCAAGGACGTGGATTGCCAAGAAGAACTCGCCATTGTCAATGTCGCTGCAATGAACAACAAGAGAGGTGAGCGTGTGTGTGTGTGTGTGTGTGTGTGTGTGTGTGTGTGTGTGTGTGTGTGTGTGTGTGGTTGGGTGTGGAGGATGAAATACACGCTAACGTGGCGACACAAACAAAGGCTTCCACTTCAAACTCACGAGTAGTCAGCGCTGAAGCCGCCAACAGAGCAGCTCCAAGCAGACACGGCAGCAAATGCACACAAGGTGAAGAACTGCAACGGGCAAGTGTGTGCGTGTGTGTGAGAGAGAGAGTGTGTGTGTGTGTGTGTTCGTGTTTAAGTAGGCGAGAGAAGCGCGCAGCAGAGCAACAGCGTCGCATGTCGAGCAGGCCCAGCAAACACCGAAATCCGGCAACACCATACACGTACAAAGATGGCAAGCTTGGAGATGCCAAGGGGAGTGGTGAGGTTGTTCACGGCTACTTGGGGCATGGCTGTTTGTTTGTTGGTGGTCGTCGCTGCTGTTGCCGCAGTTGTTGTGCTCTGTTTGTTCTGCACGTGAGGGGGGAAATGATTGTGACGGATGCAATGCGCGTGAATGTGTGTGTGTGTGTGTGTGTGTGTGTGTGTGTGTGTGTGTGTGTGTGTGTGTGTGTGTGTGTGTGTGTGTGTGTGTGTGTGTGTGTGTGTGTGTGTGTGTGTGTGAGTGTAGAAGCAAGCGACAGGAAGGAGGGAGGACCAAGGGCGTGAGGTAAAGAGAGGTGTGGGCGAGGAACACAAATATAAACACACTCCAGCACCCACCAACCAACAAGGCAAACGGCGAAGCGAGCAACAAACACTCACGCACACTCACGCACACTCACGCAATGCACACCACCCACCTCACTGCGCTTGCTTGCTTGACGTTGTAGAAATATGGTTGAAGACATGGCTAATCGTCTAGCCTCGTCATCATTTTCTTTTCCCTTGCTCTCAAAGCGACTGCTCTCGCTTTCGTCCAATTCGTAGCTACTACACCCATACGCAGAGATGGAGTCGTTGATGAAGCAGAAGAACCCCGTGATTGGGTTCATTGGGTGCGGCAAGATGGCGCAGGCCATGATGCGCGGCATGATCCAAGGGTTTGTGACGCCCGCCAGCAACATCCACGCCGCGGATCCCAGCGAGGAGTGCATCAAGGCCGTCAGCGACGTCGGCATCAACACGCACGCCAAGAACGTGGATGTTGTCAAGGCGGCCGAGGTTGTCGTCATCGCGGTCAAGCCGAACGTCGTCGTCAGTGTCCTGCAGGAGATTGCCTCTGCCGTGGGCACCTCCACGCTCGTCGTCTCCATCGCGGCCGGTGTTCGCATCAAGACCCTGCAGAAGGTGTGTGCGTGTGTTTGTGTACGTTTATGTGTGTGTGTGTGTGTTATGTGTGTGTGTCTGTGTCTGTGTGTGTGTGTGTGTGTGTGTGTGTGTGCGCGCGCGCGCGTGTGTGTGTGCGTGTCTGGGTGTGCAAACTCGCAAGCACCTCCCGGAGTGCTCTTATTATTATTATTCCACCCTTCATCGTCACCCCTCTCCTTCCCTTTCTCCTCCTCTCTTTTGTCTTTCTCCCACAGCACCTGAAGAGCCATGCGCGCATTGTGCGGGTGATGCCCAACACGCCTGCGCTTGTGCGCGAGGGTGCGACGGCGATAGCGGCAGATCCGGACGCCACGCCAGAGGACATTGCGCTCGTGGAAGAGATGATGTCGGCCATCGGCACCTGCGTCCGTGTCAAGGTGCGTGGCGAGCCATCGACTTGTGGTGGCGCCAAAGGTGGTGGTGGTGATGAAGTATGATGATGGAGCGAGGCGTGACGGTACGGCATTGAGTTGGCACAACGCTGCAGTGCTGCGGTGCTGCGGTAGCGGTGTGATGTTGTGTTGGGTGCACAACGAACACCTCAGCACAACGAACGCCTCATATCAAACACCGCCACTCCATCACGGCCACGTGCAGGAGTCGCACATGAACGCGGTAACGGGCCTGAGTGGCAGCGGCCCCGCGTATGGATACATGATGATTGAGGCCATGGCTGACGGTGGCGTCCGCGCAGGCCTCTCAAGGTCCATTGTGTGTGTGTGTGTGTGTGTGTGTGTGTGTGTGTGTGTGTGTGTGTGTCGTGTCTGTGTGTCGTGTGTGTGTGTGTCGTGTGTGTGTGTGTGTATTTGTTTGTGTGTCTGTGCGTGTCGTGTGTGTCTGTGTCTGTGTGTCTGTGTGTGTCTGTGTGTGTCGTGTCTGTGCGTGTCGTGTGTGTCTGTGTGTGTGTGTGTGTGTCTGTGTGTGTGTGTGTGTGTGTACGAATGCGACCTTTCACGTCGCTCACCACATCCATCTCACCACCGCCATCACCACCGCCGCCACCACCAGGCGGGAGGCGCAGCTGCTTGCTGCCCAGACGCTCCTCGGCGCTGCCAAGATGGTGCTCGAGACAAACGACCACCCGGCACACCTCAAGGACCAGGTATGTGTGTCTGTGTGTCTGTGTTCGTGTGGCTGTCTGTCTGTCTGTGCATCGATCTGTCTGTCTGTCTCTGTGTGTCTGTGTCTGTGTCTGTGTCTGTGCATCGATCTATCTTGGCTGTCTGTGTCTGTGCCTGTTGCTCACACTCTATACCCACCTCCGTGTTCCTCTCTCCCCTTTCATACCACCTTTTCTCTCCACGTCGCCTCCCTTTCCCTCCACACACACACACACACACACACACACACACACACACACACACACACACCATCCGACAGGTGTGCTCGCCCAACGGCACGACAATTGCCGGGGTGCATGCGCTCGAGGACGGTGGATTTCGCGGCGCCGTCATCACCGCTGTTGCCGCTGCTGCGAAACGCGCAGAGGAGCTCGGGTTTGCCGAGTAGTCCCCGTGGTGCTGATGATTGTTGGTGGTAGTGGTGGTGGTGATTGTCGTGGTGATCGTAGTGGTGATTGGTGGTTGATGATTGGTGGTGATGGTGTAGCACTCGGTCTTATCCCTGCGTGCTCGTGATGGTGGCTTTGGTTCGTGGTCGGTTTATTCGTCAATGAAGGACAAGAAGCAAAGAAGCAATTAAACGCACAAGTCAGCAGCACTGATGAAGGCGCTGCTAAACCCATCCACACATGCACACACAGCCAAACGATGATGGCAAACACAAACAAAGCCACACGAATTTGAACAAGGACAAGACAAAACACACACACACTGCACACACTGCACACACACACACACACACACACACACACACACACACACACACACACACACACACACACACACACACACACACGATGCCACATGGCTGAATTCAACGACACGCCCCTGTCAAACGACCACGACGACCGTACGTGCATGTCAGGTAACGTAACAATCATCTTCTTCCTCCGCTTGCGTACGCACAACACACACGCACACACAACGTGCAACGAGTCACTGCTGATGTTGCTTGCTACTACTACTACTGCTGCTGCTGCTGCTGCGATTGCAACAGCTGCTGCAAGACGGCTGCTGGGTCCATTTTCGGCCGCTTCTCAGGCAACACCCCATCACCGCTGCCGTCGCCATTGTGACCACCACTATGGACATCATCACCATTGCCGTTCGCGCGCAGGCGAGCCGCGATCTTCGTTCGCTTCTCCGGATCAGCGAGCGCAGACTGCAGCGCATGTACTGCAAAGGCATCGCATGATATGGAGGGGCGGGGGGTTGATGGTGCACACCCGCACGCACGAGAATGAGACGGGGACAAACACACACGTGCACACATACATACACATACACATACACACACACACGCACACACACGCACACGCATGCACATGCATGCACGCACACACACGTGTAATCAAAGCGCACTTACTCGACTTGTCTGCTCCGTTGACGGCCGTCTTCAAGGCATCGACAGCGCCCGTGTCAAGATCGCTGCCGACGGCTTCCACCACCTCCAGCAGCTGCTCCGTCTGCGCAACCTGCTCGCGCACGCGTTGCACCTCCTCATACTCCCGTTGCGCCTTGAGGCGGAGCTGGCGGTATTCGTCGCGCTGCTGCACGCTGTCGGCTGTCGCGCCGCTGCTGGCCTGCTGTTGCGTCGATGAGCCATCGCCCTCGCCCTGTGAGCTGACAGCGGCCATGTTCGGCCACTCCATCGGCAGCTGTCGCCAGTCTGACGCGTTTGTGGCGTCGACAACGTCCCCTTGCGGCCGCATCAGCCCGGAGAGCTGATCGATGGCTTCCCGACGCCCCACATGCCCGTGAACGCTCCGCATCTTCTGCAGTGCCATGTCGTTTGCTGCAACGCGTTGCGGTGTCAAGAGAGTGCGTTGTGAGTGGTGGGCAGGTGACACCACCGTTGATCGGTCACAAGAGCTGCAACACGGCTCGCACTCACACGCATACAAACTGAGCATGCACGCATACACATACACGTGTTCGCAGCACCTTTCTTGATGGCCTTTTTGATGGACTGTTCGGAGGGCATGGGCTGTGCGTCATCCTCGTCCTCTCCCAGATCCATGCGCATGGTGTCGATGTTGGGCCGGAGCGCCTCAAACGATGGCAGCGAGTGCAGCAACTGCACTTGCTGATGCACAAACTCCCCTGCCCTCTCCATTATGTGTTGTGTATGTGTATGTGTGTGCGTGCGTGTGTGTGTGTCTGTATCTGTCTGTGTGTATGTGCGTGTCGTGTGTGTGTGTGTGTGTGTGTGTGTGTGTGTGTGTGTGTATGTGCGTGTGTGCCTGTGTGTGTGTGTGGGTGTGTGTGTCTGTGTGTTGTTGTTGTTGTTGTGGCGCGCCAGTGACCAACGGCTCCGTTACGGAAAGTTTGTAGATAATTTAGATAATTTTCGGTTGGTGCTGGACGCTGGTGATGGACGTGGATGCGGTGGTGCAGTTTGTGCGTGGCCACGAGCGACAGCGGGATGGTGTCAAGCAAGAGAAGCGTTCTCCTGTTGATGATGGTCGTGATGACGGCAGTGATGGTGGTGGCGATGGATCCTCAAGCTTGATGGAATGCATGGTGGACCACATGTTCTTATCCGGTGCTTACTTTGGCGTCAACACCTGTGTAAGCAAACACTTGCGTGTTTGTGCGTGTGTGTGTGTGCGTTGTGTTTGTGTATGTATGTGTGTATGTATATCTGTGTCTGTGTGTCTGTGTCTGTGTGTTCGTGTGTGTTCGTGTGTGTCTGTGTGTGTCTGTGTGTTTGCATGTGTGTACGTGTGTGTCTGTGTGCGTACGTGAATGTGCGCACGTGTGAGACACTCCGGGTATGGGTTGGCCTGGATGTTCGCCAATGTGCCTGTTTTGAGTGGTTTGTTCTTTGCTGAGCTTTTACAGCCTGTGCACCTGCGCATTGTTGCATAAACTCACAGCTCAATGTACGACCACCCTGCTAGGCCCTGTTGCGGCGTGAAGCAGACTTCCCGGCCAGCAAGTTCCTGGCACTGGCAGACGCCTGTCGGTGCCACAACACCGGTGCGTACGCTGGAAACGTTGGCCTTCAGCCACATGTCCTCTACACATACAGGTGTGATCGAAATGGTTGTATTTGTCTGTCTGTCTGCGTGTCTGCTTGTTTGTCTGTCTGTGATTGTATTTGTGTTTGGCAGTGTGTGCGTGTGACTGTGTCTGATTGCATTTGTATGGCAGTGCTTTGTTCGTTGCCTTTCGTCTGCGTGTTTGAATTTCTTTTTTGCCAGCTACTTTGGCAGTCTCTCACGGTTGAGCATGAATGCGCTCCATGTACATCTATCTACGTGTGCACCGTGTCATCGAAGTGCGTTGCAGCTTCGATACTTGAGCGGTGACGCTGAGATTGCAGATCACGCTTCGCCCGCTGATCAGAAACGTTCGTTGAAACTGCTGGATGTGTGGGTGTGTCTGTGTGTGTGTGTGTGTCTCTCTCTCTCTCTGTCTCTGTTTCTGTCGGTCTGTGTGGCTGTATGGACCGTGTGTGTGTGGAATAATCTACGTGGTTGAAGCTGTGCTCTGCTTTTTATCTGCCTCCATTCTCATAGTCTCTCATGGTCTCATCTGCAGTTGTGGCGTGGCTGGGGCGGCGAATTGCCCAAGACGGAGCTTGCAGCGGCGATGACTTTGGCATGACCGATACACGGTATGCACATGTGTGTGTGTGTGTGTGTGTGTGTGTGTGTGTGTGTGTGTGTGTGTGTGTCTGTCTGTCTATTCTGTCTGTCTGTCTGTCT